CCGGGTGAGCAAATGAGGGCACATCTCTCTTAAATATAAATTATTTAGCACAATCCAAATTACTGGGAATGTTCACTGCCTGTCCAGCTAAATCTAATTTGTATTAAGTTCATGTGGCAGTAATTTTCCTTAATGGCCAGGGTGGCCTTCTGTGGGTGTGTGGTAAAAATGATCTCTTGGATATAGGTGGGAAAGGCCTGCGTGGGCCTGCACTCCAAAATAACAACCAAAAATTAATTATAGCCATTATAACAGCTCAGAAGTACACTTAGTGAAAGTGGAAAATAGAATGAAGATAATTATAGTGGTTTTTCCCTACTGTATCAGTCATTTGATGACATAGCAAGCTCCTCTATAAATATAGAATGCATCAATAAAATGCATCACACAGAACACAGAATATATAACCTATTATATAATATACAATGTAATTCTAAGATGTATCAGTAATATGCATCTACCATATATTTTTATCAAATAGTTTCTTTATAATATGTATGCAAGATATATAATTAGATTGTATAAAATATCTCATATAGTATATAAAATATATTTATATTTCTATATATTTATATTTATTTTTATTTTTATTTTTATCTTTATTTCTATATATTTGTATTTATATTTATATTTATATTTATATTTATATTTATATTTATATTTATATTTATATTTATATTTATATTTATATCTATATTTATATTTATATTTATTATATATTTATATTTATTATATATTTATATTTATATTTATTATATATTTATATTTATATATATTTAGATTCAGATTCAGATTAAATATAAATATAAAACATATTTAAAATTGTACTTATATTTATATATTATAAATATATATATTTATAAAATTTATAGAATATCTTATATAAGTTATAAGAATATTTTATTTATATGAAACAGATAGTTAAAATATATAACAAATATAGTAAAAGAGATAATTAGATATATATTAGATAAATATTAGATATATTTATATTATATATATTAGATATGTATAAATTTTATATATTATTATATAAAATAGAAAGATATTTTATTTATAGAAAATTGATAATTAAAATATATAACTGATCTATTAAAATAGATAATTAGATTATATAATGAATAATATATTTAATATATTTATACTCTATAATGCAGATAATGTATATTCTGAAGCTTTGGAATTGAGAGAGACCAGGAGCCACCCAGGGACAAGGGGGAGTCCAGAGCAGGGCCAGCCCTGTCCGTGGTGCTGCTGGGCAGATCCAGCCTGGGGGGTCCCTGAGCAGCCCCACCACATCCCCCTTTGCCATTTGGATCTCAGCATTCCCAGACCCCTGGAGCAGCAGGATCAGTGTCCGCCTAAATCAAGCCTCAGCCTCCCTCCTCTGACTCCTCATCCCGACTTGAGGGGTTTTTCCCCCTGGGAGAGCGTGAGGCTCTGCTGTGTGTGGGGTGCTCGATGTTCCCCGGGTGATCCGGGGTGCTCTGGGCCCTGCCGGGGTTGCCGGAGCCTCGCCGGAGCGTGGCACGCGCTTGTCACCGGCGTGGCACGAGGTGTGGGCTGCCTGCCACCGAGGCAGCAATCCCAGCGGGAATTCAATAAGGATAAAGCTCAGCCTGATCAAAACGAGCCCCAGCCTGCCAGATGGCCCTGAGCGAGGGGGAAAGGCAGGAGCTGGGCAGGGAGCACATTCTGCCTTCCTCCTGACAAGCCCCACGCTGGGATGGGCGGTGGGGGGACAGGGCGGGGGAAGATCCTGATTTCCATGGGGACAGGGGATTTAGGGTCACCCTAAACACAACACAGGGACACAATTCCTGCTCTCCATCCACACAGGGATGAGGAGCATGGCCAAGGTGGCACTGCTTTGGCAAATCCAGTCCATTTTCATTTTCCATCTGTCCCTGCAATGCCACACCATGCCAAAGACCTGGCTCATCTCTTCACAGACCCATTTCCCCATTCCAAACCCATCTGGAATCACTGAGTGTGGGCTTGGCCACTGCTGGAGCCCAGCCACAGCAGCAAACAGTGAGCAGGGCCAGGGGAGGCTGCCATGCCTGCTGAGCCACCCCAAGGAGGAATAATTCCAATTCTATCTCCCTTTTGGAAGGGACACGTTTAGTGGAGTCAGGAATTAACTCACTGCATCCAAATGCCGTGAAATTGAATCCTGTCAGGTGCAGGAGAGGTGGGGTTCCCAAGTCCCCATCCTTCTTCCAGAGCCACCAACCCACCAGGACTTCTCTACCAGGTAAGGATGTGCAGCTCTTGGTGCTTCCCGTCCCCCTGAGCAGAATTGGGAGTCAAAGCCAAGCGTTCATAGATACAGGTGCTGGGAAAAGCAGCTTATTTGTTGGAAAAGAGGCTCACAGACCCCAACTGTGCAGTAAATGGAGTTCCCCGATTGCTCTGAGAGCATTGGAGGAGGCCACAGAGCACCTCAGGCACATGCTGGGATCCTCAGGGTGGTGTGGTGCAGGACCAGGGGTTGGATTGATGACCCCTGTGGGTCCTTTCCAACTCAGGAATTCTGTGATCCCCTTGATGCTCAGCTCCTGCAAAAGGTGCCGTGGTTCAGGGGACTGATGGGGAGACCAGGGAGGTCTCCAGCCCTGGTTCCCACCTCAGCAGGGATTGGGAATTGCACCAGCCCAGCTCAGCCACACTGCTCTGGATTCTCTGTGAGAGATGGATGTGATGAGCCTCAGGAAGTGCTGCCAGGAAAGCAGCTGGTCCCAGCTCCAGGAGTGGCTGGCTCTGGACACTCAATCCTGAGTGATGGGCATCATGCAAAGAAGGAGCTCTCAGAGAGATCACTCCTCTGAGGAAGGCTTTCCACAGGCACATCCAGAGGAAGAAAAGAGCACGCTTTAATTATGCTAATTAGAGACTTGGCAGTCTCGTTTCTTGGTACTTTTGCTCATGATGTGGAGCCACTTCCCTTTGCCAGGGTCTGCATCTCCTGCAGAGGGAGGGATGTGGGCACAGGAGTGCTGGGCTCCAGGAGCATTGCCCTCCCATTCCTGCTGATCCCAGCTCTGAGGTGCACTCAGCTGAGGGATCCCAGCTGACTGGCAGCACTCTCCCTTCTCCAGGGGTGACATGGAGCCTCCACACCTCCCTCCCCACAGGCTCCATCCCTGCCAGCAGCACAGGGCAAAGCTGCTGTGCTGAGAGCAGGTGAATGTGCTAAAACACAGGAGCAAAGGGAATAACTCCTGTCCTCCCACTCCAGGCTATAAATGGCCGTGGTCCTGCTCCTGGCTGGCTCAGCCATCAGTTTTGTGTCTCCTGAGCATCCCGGGGGGAGCAGGGAACCAGAGCTTTCTCTCCTGTGCCATATTTTCTGCTGGCCAGCACTGATGGATGGCTCAGCCTCACCATCCATGAGCTTTGCTCTCTGGCTGCTCCAAGGGCAAACAATTCTCTGGACTCAGCCTGAAACGCTCCAGGCCAAGCATCGTTTTGTCCTGGTTTGTCATTAAAGGATGTGCACAGCCATTCCAAGTGACAGAGCAATTTCCTTTGTGTCCTGCAAAGCAAGAGGAAAAGAAAGAAGTCAGCGCATTACACACAAATCTGCTTTTCTCCTGCAAGTTGAAATAGGAACAGCTTAATTTCCAGCAAACCCAGCCCTGTAGTAATTCCAAATCAAAGGCTTTGTGTCAAAAGAATCATTTTGCTACAGCCACAAATAATGAGCAATTTATGCCACGTTTGGAGATTAGATTAAAAACAAGCTGCAAAGCCACACCTCGGCTGGCCACAGTTGTAGGTTGGACTTCAAAAGTGGGGCAGCACTGGATTCCTGGTCCTGGGTGTCCCTGCTCCAGGTGCCACTGCTGTCCCTCCCCTCAGGTGTCACCAGCTGGCTTGGGGCAGACCAGAGTCCCAAGGGCTGGAGCTCCTCTGCCATGGAGCCAGGCTGGGCCTAAAGGGGCTACAGGAGAGCTCAAAAGGGACCTGGAGCAAGGGCTTGGAGGGACAGGAGACAGGGAATGGCTTCCCACTGCCAGAGGGCAGGGATAGATGGAATACTGGGAGGGAATCATTCCCTGGGAAGGTGTGAGGCCCTGGCACAGGGTGCCCAAAGAAGCTGTGGCTGCTCCTGGATCCCTGGAAGTGTCCAAGGTCAGGTTGGATGGGGCTTGGAGCAACCTGGGCTACTGGAAGACATCCCTGACCATGGCAGGGGGAGAAACTGGCTGATTTTTAAGGTCCCTTCCCACTCAAACCCTTCTGTGATTCCCTGGTTCTGTGAAATCCCTCTGGGGAGCAATACTCTCTGCAAAGAGAAAACCACTTGGTTTTTTTTTTTCCCTCCTAGAAACAGCAGAATCATTAAAAAAAAAAAAAAAAAAAAGACCAATTTAAAACTAATTAGAGGCAATTTCTTCATCTGCTGCCTTCTTGCATGAGGCACACGTCGCAAAAGGGACACGTGGGAGCGCGGGGAATGTCACCCTGAGCAGAGCTGCCTCCTGCCAGGCTGCTGGCCCCGCGGAGCCGCCGGCACCGAGGAATCGCCGGGAACTGCTGACAGGCGGCCGAGCAAAGTGCTGATGTGAGCCCTCATCCCCAGGCTCCCCATCCATCGCTGACAAGGAAAATGCTGCTTGCTGCAAGGCTTTGCTTTAAATTAGGAGTGAAGGTGAAGAATCCAACGGGAAAAACAAAATGCTGAACAGAGCCCAATTGGCCTTTCAAGATGCCATTGCCCTGTGGCTGTCCCGGGGGGTCCCGGGAGGTTGTGCAAATTGTGCAAATTTCCCAGCCAAGAAAATGACTTGGAAATCCCTGACGATTTGTGCATGGACCTACATCCTTTTTCCCCAAACCTCTGATCAAGGAATAAGTTTGGATCTCTTCTAGGAAAGAAAGCTGAGGCTGAGAAAAGAGTTTTTTGTGGAAGGACGTGCTCAGCTCCGCACTGTGCCACTTCCACGGACCTGCTCCCAGCGTGGGGAAAGGAATAACAAGAGGGGAGCTGTGTGTCAAAGAAGCAAATATTTTATTGTGTAAAAACCAAGCAGGCATTAAATAGAGCCCCCCATTGCCCCCACACCATGTGCCTTGCATGCCACTGGGATGTGCCCAGATGTCCCCCACAGGCTGGAGCCATGGAAGCACAGATGGATCCATCTTCAAATACCTGTGGAATTATAAAAGCTTCAGAGCTCTGCTGTTGCTGGGTGTCACACTGAGACCCAAGAGCATCCTCGAAGATCAGCGGATTTTTGAGCAGTGCAATGTGGGATGAGACACCTGGGCTGCAGCTCTGGGTTACAAAGGAGGGGTTTGGTGTCCCTCCAGCTCCTCTCAGAGTGGCCTTTCCCAGGCCATGGCACATCCTCAGCATCTGTGGCAGCCGCTGGGTTTTAATTAAAGCACCAACTCCCAAGTCAAACAACTGCAGGAGAACAGGAAAGTCCTTGTCCCTGCGGCTGGCCCTGAGCAAAGCTGCTGCGCTGGGAAACGGGGCAGGAGCACAAGGAAACCACGGTGTGTGCAAGGCCAAAAAGAGTTTGTGACTTTTGTGGAGCCATTTGAGGTCTCTGCTCACGTGAGGTGGTTCTGCCAGGAGCAGGGAAGCCGTGTGCCCAACGTGGCTCCTCATCACTGCGGGTCGGGGACAGCTCCTGCTCTTGATGGAAACAAATCCTGCGGAAAGTGGGACGTTGCATTATGCAAATTTGCTTCCTGAAAAGAAATGTTTTATTAACATGCGCTCCCTTCGTGTGTTGGCTTAGTCAATTTGGTCACAGCTTGACATCCAATAAGTTACTCTAAAGGCAATGGTTTTACAAAATGTTTTTCTAATCTATTTTAAACACTTAATTACAGTTGTGGCGCATTCATTAGGGACTGTGCTTTCAAACCGGGACTGCAGCAATAAATCCTAATTCTTCAAGTGTCAGTTGCAATCCAGACATAGCATCCAAGCGGGTGTTGGAGGCTGTTGATGACTGGGGGAAGGATGTCTGGGCCAGTGGGAGCCCCATCCTCCAGAGAGAGAACCCCCAGCATCCAGCCTGAGCGGGTTTCTAATCACCAAAAGAACCCTGGGCCCCTGAGGAGGGAGCGCTCGAGGGCCTTGGGAGGATGAGTCTGCCAGGTGCTGGGGTGGGAGCTGAGGGATGCTGTTCTTGGGAAACCCCAGTGAGTTCTGAGCTGGTGCTGTGGATGGCTCTGGGGCTGTCCCTGGCACCAGCAGTGTCCCCATCGCAGCTCTGAAGGTGCAAAGGGGGGACCAGTCCCAGTGCCACACACCCTGAGGGACACCCTGACATGCCAGGAGGAGCACGGGGACTCCTGCTGTCCCCACACACTGCTGGCACCAGCCCAGACACGGAGGAGGAGCAACAGCTCAGGGCCAGCATCCCAAAGGTGCCCCCACAGCTCTGGGCCAGCGGTGCCTCGGCACAGTTACCTTAGTCCTTGCCCAGGTACTTCTTCATGATGCTGCTGACATCGTCCTCCTTCCCTTCGGCCTCGTCTCGTTGGCTCATGGCGCTGCCCTGGGCCCCGGCTCTGCCGCTGGAGCCCTCCCCGTCCGCTCTCGGGGGCTGCGGCCGGCGCTGGACGCTGC